ACCCTTCTGCGCGGGGAGGGTGGGCCAGCCCCGGCCGGGGCCAGGTGGGCGAGCATGCTCCGCAAAGGGGCTGCAGAAATGGCCAGGAGCGCCCCGAGCCGGTGTCCGCAGGGATGTTTTAAAAGCAGTTTCTGGTTTACCCTTGGGTGTCATTCTTAGCTCACAGCCGTGTAGAATTTGAATGGTGTTTTAGAAATATTCAGCCTCTCTTGGCTGAAGGTTGTTAATGAACGGCTCTTGTTGATACCGCAGCCAAATGGAATCCGTCTCAGGATTTGATAGATGCGTTGGAAGCAGGATGGAGAAGTAGTAAAAGCGTGTTTAAGTCATTTGAATTTTTTTAACATATGAAGTGCAGAGTGGTTGTATGGGCTTTACTTTGAAGGCCATTGTTCATATTTCTGTTAAAAGTATTTGAAATACTAAAATATTTTTAAGAGGATTTTTATTGGACAAATATTTAATATTGTTTACATGTTTAAATCACTTTATTGCACCAAAAGTACCTAACCTCAACCTTCGTTACAATCGTATAGTTAACAGGCAATATATAAGGCATTTCTCAGGAAGGGATTGTAAAATAAGTTGACGAGATCCTTCTGTTTTATGATTCATTATTTCCAGCATGAATAACTTAGAACATTTCAGAAACATTCCGTAGATTCAGGAAGCATACTCTGAGAAAAGCAAAGAGGTGTTTAAAAATGGAATGCTATGTAAATGCATGCTTGTACCACAAATAGTAATTGAGGTTGGCACAATACTGGAATTAAGGTAGGACGACAGAATGTCTTAAAAGTTTGATGATAATAATAATATCAAAATAGATTTTGGTATACAAGTCCTGATTTGGTTTGGTGCTTAAAAATTTGGTTGATGTTAGACACTAAGCGCATTGCTTAGTGGGACAGTAAATTGGTAATAAAGTGAAAATGTATTTCTCCTGTGCTTTTCAATGGAGCTGAAATAGTACACAGTTCTGTTTTATTACGTGAATGACAGTCATTTGATATTTCAGTGTTTGGTTTCAGATGTTTCATCAGTTTTTAATTTATAAACGTTTCTCTTGTAATTTTAAATTTGATTAGTGGGCAGCCTACAACAACTTGATGCGTACTACTAGGAGACAGGGAAAACAGGAATAGGAAATACAGTTCTCTGATGAGTTTCATTTGGCCTATTTTTATGCTGCCTTGAGGAGAAACAGCTCTCCTCTCCTGTTAGTCACTTGTTCCCAACCCTGCTCCATCTGTGCCAGCCCTACTGTCTGTGTAGCAAAATTGATTTGGAAATTCATCTTGTTAAAGGCTAGCTTAGCAAAAAAGGAAAATAAAATTTTTCAGAAAGATCAATTTGCTTAGCTGGGTTAATGTGCAGTTTCATGAATGTCTTGGCACAAATAAGGCTAAAGAAATAGGTAGACGGGGCCTTGCTTTCAGCGCTGTTACTTGGAAAGACTGTGGGAACTACCCTTTCCACATATGGAGTAGGCAAGCAGCAGGTGAGATTTATATCAAAATAAATTGAGCTTGAAACTATTGTTTTATTTTTCAGTGTAAGGTTGCTGCAAACCTTTACAAAACATTTTCACTTAAATAAAAATGAAAAGCTGAAGTAATGTTAAGGTACTAGTTGATTACTAGCCTTTAATTTCCTTGTTAAATTTTCTAATATAAATCTAGAATTAGAAAAGAAAATGAGGAAAGACTTTAGAGCTCTTACTTGGCTCAGGTTATGCATAACTTGGACTTTGCCAGCATGTGTGATGGGGAGCAAATTAGCACAATTTCTTCTGTAATTGTACTTCTAAATTTGTATAGCAGACAGCAGCGTAGTGCTTGATTATCTCTACTAGCTTTAATGAACTAGCTTGACTACTGGAGAAGTTCAGTTATAGCTGCGGGGGGCTCCAAGGGAGCTAATTTACTCCCTAGATAACATGTAAAAATAGGTTGGGTGGAGCTCTGGGCTGTTGTGTCTTGGCAGCTTCTGGTATGTATATAAGGTAGCTCAGTTAAAACTAGTGTCAGTATCATTTTATTATACTGCTTTGTGTGATGAATACACATTCTAAGTAGCAGTGCTGTTAGTTTTCTGTGTACACATAGGCTGCATCCATGTTTTGATAGCTAGAAGATTTTTCACACTAAGGTTGCTTAGTCCTGTGTTTTCATACCACTCTGGCTTTTAACTTTAAAGCTTTCTTTGAAGTACCTTCTTTTCGAAAAGCACTACTGGTCATAGAATCAAACAGGGGGCCGCACCATCTTTTTATTTGTTTCTTTGGTCGCAAATGCTGTACAGAGTTCTGTTGATCGAGGTACGTATGGTTACATATACAGAGCTCAGTGTGAACTTTTTGTCCAGTTCTGCAGTGCTGTAGGCTTTTTAAATGCACTGGGTGTACTTAAGAAAGTGCAGAATCTCTTTAGACTTGGGGTATGCACCTATGCAAAATAATCACCATATTACTGAAACATATAAAGTGTTTATTTAATACTTTCTTGAGCAGAAGCGTTTAAAAAACTGCTATACAGTTTTCAAAAGCTAAGCCTAAATTTAGTCTCCAAAATCCGTTTAGACTTTTAAAAAGAAAACGGCATTCAAAACCCACAAGTGTCTTTGACTGCAGCATTTCTTTTATATCAGCATGCTGATTATTTTCTTAAGAATCTTGAATGAGTTCAAAAACATATCTATGGGTATTTGTAACTACCATCAGATAGTTGGTCTGAGTTGAAGTACTAATTATTTTGAGAGGCAACATGGCAACATTCAGAGAACTACAAGTGTTTGTAAACTGTTTAGAATGAAAGCTGCAGTGAAATAAAGGCTCTTGCATTGTGCAGCGTGGTTTCTTGATGTGTGGAGCATCACAGAAATTCAGGTTCACTTTTTAAAAAAAAACAAATAAAAACGACGACTGGGGTCATCCTAAAATAGACTCCTATGGAGACCAAATGGAGATTCCTGAAATAGGTTATTATGTGGTTGAAGGTGCATTAATCAATAGAAGTATGGAGAATATGTAATCTTCAGTAACTGGAGGTTACAGGGATATATATAGAGATATGTACGTAGATATGTAGTCCCTCTAACCTTTTTGCCTGTATGCTTTCTGGAATTTTCTATATTTTAAGAAAGGAATAGAAACTGATCAGGTGCTTCCTCCTTGCTGCTCTGAATTTACTGATATGTGTCCAGCATATCGAGATTGCAGTTAACAGAGACGATTTCAGTTATTTTCTGGTGTGTATCTGGGGAGATTTCTTAAATTTAAGAAATAATTTTACCAATGTTACCATTTTATTTCTGTATTTCTTTTATAAATTGTCAATAAAGCTGATTTAGAAACCCTAGAGAGAACTGTAATAGGACATAAACTATGAATATTTGGATAGAATACTTTTGCTTATAGTATTTCTAAACAGAAGGCAAAAGAGAGTGTACCAAGTGACTTTGAATAGCCAATATAAGCAATATTTTTACCTCTCAAGTGATTGAGGGGGAAAAAAAAATGATTTTAATAGTGGGAGAGAGAGATTTATTGTAAGTCAGCAAGACTTTTCCACCAATATGTGGAAAGTACTTACTGATACATGTGAGTCAATTAAAAAGCCACTCTCACTGAAAAGGATTTGTTGATATTTGTTGATATTGTTGAAATTTGTATTTGAAATTATTTGCATGTGTAGATTTAATGAGTTTCTAAATTTATTTATAAATATTTAGTATTAATAATGGAATGCTTGTATTTTTAGGTGAAATTTGGAAATACAACATTTAAGACAGATGTGTATCCCAAATCACTTAATCCTCAGTGGAATTCTGAGTGGTTCAAATTTGAAGTAAGTATTTTTTAAGAGCTTGCCTGTATCTATATAGACACTCTGGTTTAGATGCCCTTAATGAAATAATTTCATTTCAGGCAGAAAATGAGTTTTGAGGAGTGAAGTGTATTTCTGTTTAAATACACAGAAAGCCTTTTCAGCAAACCTGTCTACAGTTAGACCTTGTTTGCTAAAGGTGTCTCATTGGCTTTTTAGGACTGTTTGTAAAGATAAAAGCTTGCCAGATTGGATCCAACTCAGATGTTATTCTGGGTAATAATAAAAAAGACAAGACAGAGGTAAAAGTGGGGGGAAAATAGCGTTATGGATTAGGCTTTCAGATATCAGTACGGGTATGCTTGTGGGTTTTTTTTAAAGGGGTAATTTTGAGTAAGGAGAGTTAATTGGGATTTGAAATATTACTTTGGGTTGCAAAAATAATGCACTTGATAAAGAAGAAAATGGAAAATTCCTATGAGAAAATTACAAAATAAAGACCTTGGACAAAAATTATTGGACACTCTTTCCCATTTCCTTATGTAATAATGAGGGCACTCAGCATTTCCCTGTAATTGCTTGTTGCTTTCCATGATCTGATTCGTTGATGTCCTTTGACATTACACCCTGAACAAGTGTTTACATATTCTTTTTTTTTGTTACTGCATTTTTTTATTACTTAAAAAAGTAATGGTCCTTTGACATTACACCCTGAACAAGTGTTTACATATTCTTTTTTTTTGTTACTGCATTTTTTTATTACTTAAAAAAGTAATGGTCCTTTGACATTACACCCTGAACAAGTGTTTACATATTCTTTTTTTTTGTTACTGCATTTTTTTTATTACTTAAAAAAAAAGTGATGGTATTTAGAATAAAGTAATTGTTAAAACATTTGAATATATAGTACTGGTTCATTTATAGTGTTCTAAGATAATATCACAGTATAAGCATAGCTGTAAATATATGTACATGTAAAGAGTGATGTAATAGCTGGTAATGTTAGAAATATTTTAAGAGTAAATATAAAATAGTAAGCTTAGGCAGATTATTGATCAACACGGAACGCTTGATTAAGAGCATCTCTTAATCAGCAATCCATGTTGATTAAGAAAGTAGTCCTGTGGTATTCAAATTCAATCAGTTTTCTTTTTTTATCTTTCAGTTCCTGGGGTCATTTTTTGGGGGAGGGGAAAGAGCTGATCTGTGTGGAGGGTTAGCTCTGTTCATACAGAAAGAGGTTTTTTTGACAATAACAGAAGTCTCAAAATTCTGTCTTTTTGCATGGAAAAATGGATTTGGGAAAGCAAAGAGCCAAACAGCAACATTGAAAAGAAGAAAAAAAAAAAAAGAATTCCGTATTTCAAAGAGTGGAAAAGCACTAACCGCTTAAGACATTGTGTGTGTATGTGTGTGTAGTTTGATCTTTTTGCAAGACTACACGTTATAATTCTGCAAACACTTACGTGAGTCATCCCATTGCCTTTGGCAAACCTGATTCTTGGTTTGTGACGTTCAACACAAAAAGTTGTAGAATGTCTATCTTTGTATGTCCTAAAAAATAGTTGAGGTATCTGCAGATGGATTGTTGCATTTATTTAGGAAAGTGCATGTCTGAAATTACTGAATTTTTACAATGGATTGTATAAAATGTCTTCTTTTAAGCCACTGACCAGTTTGGAAGAGTGAGAGCACCAATAATCATAACTTCAGAGTATAATAGTTCTCTGAGATGCTTTATCTTAAATTTTCTTTTTTTTTTAAATGAAAAGTATGTGTTGTGGAGATGGGTAGACTACCCATCTAGGGACTGTGACTTAAATCATGTGGAATTTAAAAATGTGTAGTCACTGTAATCTTGCTTTTCTGTTCTTCTCCCAGCGATAACTCTAGTTCCAGGATCTTGCCAGTCTGTGAAGGGTAAACTCAAATTAAGGGAATGCGTTGTTTAGGTACAGGAAATGGAAATTACAGATTTATCAGTGTCAGGTCACTGTACATAACTAACTATCCTCTTTTTTGCATTTGTTTTTCAGCAGCATTTCCCTGCGTTGTTTTTTTTTAAATACTCAGATTCCATGTTAATATTTGTTTCTAGGTAGATGACGAAGAGCTACAAGACGAGCCTCTCCAAATCACAGTTCTTGATCATGATACCTACAGTGCTAATGATGCCATTGGCAAAGTGTACATAGATATTGATCCTTTGCTCTATAGTGAAGCAGCTACAGTTATTTCAGGATGGTTTCCTATTTATGATACCATTCATGGTAAGATTTGCTAATTTAAAAGTAAAAAAAATGTTTGAGATGTAATCTGCTTCTTACAATCTTCATTTCTGTAAGCCGTCTTCAGAAATTTGTAATAATTTTAGCCTTGAGAGCTGGAAAGCTACTTTTCTGGTGCTTTTATCCTTATTTCTGGCATGATAAAATTTCTGGCGTGGTAGTACAGACTAGTGCTTCGCAGAATGGCTTTCATAGAACTTGTGACAAGTGGAAGAAATCTTCACACGGTATTTAAAATAGTTACTGCAAAATTCAGATTAAAAGAAAAGACCCAAACATACTTTTCCAATTACCATGTGTTTACTAAAAGAATATACTTTTGCTGAAGTCACTTGGGGTGTGCCTTCCTGGGGTGCTGGATGAAGTTCACTTGAGATGGAGGGACAGGATGTGATGTTATCTTCAACATAAAGTACAGGATGAAATTCCTTTTCCCTGCAGAAAGTACTCTCAGTGCTAGGTAGATTTCATCAGAATGTCTTCAAGGTATGAGAAAATGAAGTTAATCATATTTTTGCCCTTGATTTTAATGAAACACAGCTTTTGTCCGAGAAAGTCAAGGTCTGTCTACAGCAGTTAGCTTGCTCCTTGAATACCTTATTGCAGAACATCTATGTGGTTGTCGTTATCACCCTTGTTCGTTACCCAGTGTGAGTTAAATGACCTAACTATGTTAAAAGCTAATTATAAATCATTGTTGGGAAATAATTAATGGTATTTACTGGATGATCATCATAGCTGATGCAAAGTATTTTTTACATTTAAAACAGTTATATTGAAGAGGGCTTTTTTGAGAAATATTGCATGTATTTTTCTTCTTATCCTTTGATTCTATTCACATTTTCGTATTGTACATTTTCTTTTGAAGTTAAATTAGGTGAACACTTGTCTCAGGATGTGTACAACTTGTATGTCAGAGAGAATTAGATTTCTCTGTATTTTTCTAGATCTGTTAGTATTTCACAGCTTTTTTTCTATTTAAGTAAAATTAGAATTCTTATATTTTCATGCTCATAGCAGTAGATTCTAGTTATCTTGATCTCTGGCAAACAGTAATTGATGCCTCCTTAATGAAATAATCAATATAATGTTTATAAATTTTTATTAAAAAAAAATTTTTGCACCTTAACATGATTATTTGTGAAAATATATGAACCTGACACACTTCCTCTTATAGTAACTGAAGGCTTCTTTTTATTGGCATTTTGGGAGATAGATCTAGGTGACTTTATTGCAATAATGTCAGAGTCAATCTGTGAATCTAATGCTTTTGTTTGAGTGTCATATATTTATGTGATGAAGGCTTCTGAAGACACTAGAGATCAGACTCATCAAGAAGTTTAGTCCTCAATATGTCAGAACCTATAATAGGTGAAATGATTTTGTTACTGGGTGGGGAACAAGAAGAAAAAGCTCAGAATAGAGAAGTAGAAAAATCAAAAAGGAATGTCTGTGTGTTGAGGAAATATTCCATTATTAATAAGGTTTAATTGTGGCCAAAAATATGCTTTATCTAAAAAGTCAGTAAGACCTTATTTTTAATATATTTCTTCTCATAATCAAAGTATTTTACATACACTTACTGTGCCACTGTGGTTCTAGAAAGAACCATAAATTTTCTCACTGGATTGAGCTTCAGAGGGTAGCTTTACTGTGATTTTGAAACCATTTCAGGGAGGAAATGTAAAAGCTTTTTGGTGTTGGTCAGAGCTTTTTGATGTGAACAGGACTCCAGTTTCAAGGCATCTGCACTCAAAGTTGGTACTTCGGACCTTTTGTGCTAAGGATGTCTTGGGACAGTCACGGTACTTAGATATTGATTTTATACCATTCCTGTATTGATGGTACAGGGCGAAGGAGCAGAGAGAGCACTTGCTCACTGCAGCAGAGGCCACTGCAGTATCAGGAGGCTGATGGCTTCTCTTCTCCCAATTCCTTCTTTCTTCTAAAGTTCTGTTCGGTGCAGCAGGTATTTGAGGACTGTTGCTTGCATAGCTTTAGCCTCAAAGGCTGGACAGAACTAGAACCTTCCTCTGAGAAGGAGTCTCTGCATCAGACTTGAGAGGCAAGGAAATGTGTTCCTGCTCCTCTGGCTCAGGCTAGAATTGACACATGAACCGCCAGTTGAACTGAGCAGTTCTAGCAGGGTTATAGTACATTCTTTGCAGAAAAACTAACTCATTGGTAATAGAAAGTGCATTAATTACTAGTAATAGGGAATATTTAATAGGGCTAGTTTTGTATTTGTTTCTGATACAGCTTCTAATTTTTTTTTTTGATAGGTATACGTGGGGAGATCAATGTCGTTGTGAAAGAAGATCTCTTCAATGATTTAAACAGATTTAGGCAGTCATCCTGTGGAGTCAAGTTTTTTTGCAGTAAGTAGAGGAAAAAAGTTTATTTGAACAAAAAACTCCCCCGCCCCCCTTCTTTTCTTTCTTTACCTATTCTGTCAGTTTCCCTTCTTTCACCAGCTCATTGCATAAGCCCAGTGGTGATTACGTTGAAGCAAATGCAGACAATTGTTTATTCTTCTTTTTTTATAAAATAAATTTTTACTGTTCATATTTCAAAACAATGTAACTGATTTTTTTCCCCTTATCTTTCTTAAGTTGCATTTCAGTGCATGTGCATACGCACGTTGTGTTACTTTGGGTGCACATCCTGTTAAAGAGGCACAAAGTGAAAAGGTTTCATAATGGTACGTGTTGTAACTGATACACTGGACAGTTATCTTATCAGTGTTCCAGAGTCTCCCAGAACAAAACTGCTTAGAGTATGTCCACATTTTAACAGAAAATTATGTGGATTACTTTATGGAATCGTTCACATCACTTTTTACGTGTAATTTTATGTTTTTCTTGGAATTCTTGGCTCATAGACTCATGCCTTACATCTTTTATATATTTTTTTTTAACAGCTACATCTATTCCTAAGTGTTACCGAGCAGTAATAATTCATGGATTTGTGGAAGAACTTGTAGTTAATGAAGACCCAGAATACCAGTGGATAGACCGAATTCGTACACCAAGGGCATCGAATGAGGCTAGACAAAGACTTATTTCACTCATGTCAGGTATTAAACATGTAGGCTGTAATGGTTATTGCTACTTTTAAAAATATTCACTATTTAAATAAGTGACTTGCTTAAGACAACATTGTATGTGATTTTTTGGTATTAATTATGTTTATTTTTTCAGTTCACAGTGTCTTCTGTTTCTGAAGGTTCTGTTGTCCTAACTGATGGCCAGTATGGCTGACTTGTTTCCCTCTCCCTCTCCCCCCACCCCCCCACCCGGTGAGGCCATGCTGCTGTCTAATTTGTTGATTGTTTTTAGCAAGGTCTTAGAAACCTGTGGAACTCTCTTGAAGATGTTCTTAACCCATATGAGGAGTATTACTAGAATTTGGCCTCAAACAATTAAAATAATAAACTATTCCACCGTCTTCGAACTACTTTCAAGTATGTGAACAAATATACACCTTCTCAGATACAGTGTGTATTAATACTTACCTGACTCATCCCATGTTTTCAGTCAAGATTGGTTCATTGTTTCTCAAGCATACTTCTGTATTGCCTTGCATCGATTCTGCAGGACGTATCTGCAGTTCCTGGAGAGACCAGTGATTAGAGTCAGTTGATGTCTCCACAGCACCACAGTATCAAGCATCTTCACAGATTATTTTTTTTTTTTTTTTAATTTTATTACTGATGCTTATGAACAGCAGTTGTGAACCAAGATCCTCCTGTTTCAGTGCCAATAGAACAGAACAAAAAAACCCCTACTCGGGAGTACTTGCACACTAAGACAAGAGACAACCAATTGATAGAGGTGGAGAATATTGAAGGTGTAACGAATACAAAGAAATAATGAAAAATAGCCACTAGAATGATAGGTAGTGGTTTCAGTTCTCTAATGGGCTCTTAATGTTGTCAGGTTTCTTGTAGAATCAGCTGTGTTTTAAGGAAGATACTAAAAGAAAAAGTGAGTTGGGTTTTGCCAGCATGTATGGAAATCTTTAGTAAGTGGGGCAACAAAGAGATCGTGGAGATGTTACTCAGTATCTTCACTTAGGAGAGCCAGCACGTTTTGAGGAAAAATATGAAAAAACAATATGGTCATAACTGACATGAATTCACTTTTTATGAGGTTTTAAATGTAGCTCCCATGGTATATCAGTTTACAGGATTACCATTTGCATATCTCTTGCCTTGCATAAATGGTAAAAGTGGATAAAGTAGCACATGTGGAAGTATTCTGCTAGATTTCATTAATATTTTTATTCATAGCAGTGGTTAAGAGGAAAAAAAACAAAAGACCTCATAGCAATACTGTTCCATGTCACGTAATATAATGCATCACATTGCAGTCATTGTTACTGGTGGCCACACCTAAAGAATCCTGAAGAAATCTGTAACTTCTGAGAATGATCCGGGCCGTTTCATAGTTCTCCGTCATATTATGTGTTGTATATGTAAAAAAGAATTCAGTCTCAACCTTGGCTTGAATGCAATCCATAGCAATTTTCACTTGGCTAGAAACTTTCGTACTCTACCTCATTCTTAGAGATTTTTTCAAGACCAGCGCATGCATAATTTCAGCCTCTGTTAAGAAGTTTACAGTAGGAACCTCTTCTGGTAATGTTAAAACCAAGCTTCTAGAAAGCAGTAGTGATCATTTCATTCCACTTGATTTCTTAACATCATTGACATTGGGACTGTTAGGCTATTGTCTGTGATGGTGAGGCTTTTTCAGTTTGTTAACAGAGGATTTTGGAAATCTTTAATTTTTATCCAAAGATAGATGATATTTTGCACCTAGTATTACCAAGGCTATCTAGCTACAGAGATCAATGAACTTTTTTTTTTAAACATCCTGCTAAATGAGCATCTATGCCAGACCATTGTCCTATAGTTACAGTCTTTCAGTCTGTGTGTGCAGCTAATAGAGGAGAAGTGGCAGTCTTTTGTTTGCAGTGAGAGTGTGGCATATTTGGTATTGTGTTTTGTTTATTTGGTGTTACATTTTGTAGATGAGGCTGCATATTAAACGCTATTAATTTAAAAAGAGCAAAAAGAATGAATTACATTGAAATATGGTTAAATAAGTTTATAAAAAAAAAAAAGATGCCTATCCACATGTATTTCAAAGATGTTGCATTGTTCTGAACTGTGTGAAGGGTATTTAAAACTTGTGTGTGTTCTAGCACGTCTTGACCATCTCTTTCTCTAAATAAGTAAAAAAGGGAAAAACTAATGAAAATAAAAATTGGAGAAAAACATTTCTGAAATAACATGTTGCAATCAGAGCAGATTTGGAGAAAAAAGGGAAAAGCTGTGCAAATCATGAACATCACACTATGTTATAGGAGGCAGAGATTGTGACCAGCTGCTTGGCATAATTATGTAAGATTGGATCTATTACCTGTTTTACTGACTTGGAAATTTCAAAAGCACAGGCCAAAGACCACAAAAGAGAATAGGTGAAGTTCACTGCAATTATGAGCTCTCTACCTTTTGTTTTGTAGGTGAATTGCAAAGGAAGATTGGCTTGAAGGTGCTTGAAATGAGGGGAAATGCTGTTGTTGGTTATTTGCAGTGTTTTGATTTGGAGGGAGAGTCTGGACTGGTAGTACGAGCCATAGGAACAGCCTGCACGTTGGACAAATTAAGTAACACATCAGCATTTTTACCTGCATGTAGCTCACCATCCAAAGAAATGAAGGAGTAAGTATGAATTAATAATTTGTAGGGAAACAAGTCTCATCTCTCTTCTTTTCATACTCATTCAGTTTTACATAACCAGTGTGATTTCTTTTTTTTTCCCCAGAAATTTTTTTTTTTGTAGTTTTATTTGTCTGCAACTCAGTTTATATTCCACAATTTTGAAATGTTTTAGGTTGGATTACTTATGTTCTTTCTTTAGAAGCTGAAGTGGTAAATCTTAATATGACTTTTTTGAATTTATATAGCAACGGTATTACGTATCCCTGGGTTGTGATCCACCAGTTTCCTAACTAATAATTAGTTCTGCCTTGACTCTGTGTTTGTACAATAAATGGTTTTGTGAGGGCTTCTTATGATACACCTTCTGTTCAAGATTTTCCAAGTTCAGTAAAATCAGGTTTGAGTGTTTATGCTGAGCATATAAGAAAAGATAAATTTTGAATTTGGACAGTTCCGTCAGTGATTTAGAGAATGACCCTGAAGTAGTCTCATCTTTTCTTGTGTGCTTTGCTTTTTACTGTTGCAAAACAAGTAGGGCTATTGCAAAACAGGTAGGGTTACAGTGTACTTGTAAAGAAAACTTTTTATGATGAGAGGTAGAATTTCTTGATCTTTCTTATATCTACTGCAGCACCAAACACAGTTTGAATGCAATTTTTTAATGTGTATACAAATTAATAGAAAAATACTTGCAGTTGTCTTCAAATTGTTACTACTTTGTTGCTTGGATAAATTAGTTATTTTCTGTTTGGTAGAGCGATCCAATTTCTGGAAGGAAAAAACAGCACCAAAAAGTATACTACTTATGCTGTGTTTTCAGAGGTGTTATTTGAATTAGCCATTTTCATTAACTTGAACTGTTGTGTCATTACAATAGTAATTAGGCATTTTTGTCATGCAGGCATCAGTATGCTCTTACTTCTCAAAATTACTGGTTTCTATTTCAAATCATAGCTTGTTTTAACTTGTCTTAATTTTAAAAATTTGCCATCAAAGAGCTTCTGGATGGCAATGTAAAATAACAGTGGTGATTTAAAAAAAAAAAAAAAAAAAAAGTGTCTTAATTAAAAATTTGCCATCAAAGAGCTTCTGGATGGCAATGTAAAATAACAGTGGTGATTTTTAAAAAAACATTCATAAATAAATGAGTAGCTTTCACTCTGGAGCAAAATGTGGAAATTCCACCCCCCAAATAATCCACGTTCAGCTTGGTGGTGGATATTGTCAGAATCATTGTCCCATCAGTCAAAAAAACGGGAACGTTTCTCAAAGCCAGCACAATCAACTAATACTTCTTATTATTGGCTTTACTAACTTGATGCCCTGTTGCCAAAGAATCAATTACACATTTACAAGCTAGTGGTTAAGCTGTTCCTTTCTCTCTTTTTATTTCATCTGGACTCTTGCATGCGAGGAATTAAAATTCTTAGAGTCTGCTTAAAGTAAGAGATCTCCTCTAGCTAAACTTCCCTGAAATAATTAATAACATAACTTTGCAACCTGTTTGTATGTATTGTTTTCTTTTCTTCCACCTTGGCTGCAAATTCTCTCAGGTCTCCGCTGGTTCATCCGCCAAGCCATGGATGCCGCTCGACTCACAACAGCCCAATTCACACTGCTACTGGCTCACGACTTACTCAGAACTTCTCTGTGTCTGTTCCCACTCTCATCTACACTGGTACGAGACTGCTCAGACTCAAGAGCTGGGGAGAGGCAGGCCACAGGCACAGTGGTCGCAAAGTGCAGGCAGGCAGGCAGTGTAGGCAGGTACCACCCATCTTTTCTCCCTCATTTTCTCATGGAGACACCTTCTATTGTCAGTGAAGAACTACTCTGTGTGCAGCTGCTGAAACAAAGGCAATAGTTCCTTGAAAATGCGTCAGAGTCTCTTCCACAAAGCCACACTCTTCATTTCTTTTTAACATGCTTACTTTCCAAGAAATTAAGTAAAAATAAGTTGATGTATCTGAGGAACATTCGCTATTTTACAGTCATTGGAGGAAATCATGTTTTGATTGGAGTTCGTAATTGCTTTCAAGCATAATTCAAATACGGTATTTAGGTTTTAAAATGGTTATAGGAAGGGTATGTGCCATTTGTGGAAGAGATGGTTTTGGAGAGCAGGTAAGTCAATCTGTGCATAAGTGAACTGTTTGTCAATATAGTTGTTCCCATAAAGATGCTCCTCTTTGCTCTGTTTTTAGCTGTGGCATGCTGCTGATGCTATAGGATAAGGAAACATTTTTTTTTCCCTCCCCTTAAAATGCATATGTGTGTATATACATAAATGTATGAATATGTATAAACACAAATATAATTTGAAATCATTTTTTCTTTATTAAACTAACTCAAAGCATTGTGTATTTGACCAGATTTTTAAGCCATAAACTGTTTTCAGTTTTTTCTTTTGCATATATATAATTTTTTGTCACATCTCATGCCTTTCATTTGGCTTAATTGTTATATTGTAGATATCAGCATCTATCTGTAGAATGCTGAATGGGTAAAACAGCATTTCTTTGCCTCTGGCCTCATCCCCAGTCTCGCACCTAAGGAATAGCTGCTGGCCCTGCCCCAATCCCATCCTGGTGTTTGGATCATGCTGCTGTCAGCCAGGTCCTTTGGCACAGGATTACTGAATATGTTTCCACCTTCTTCTGGCAGGATTCCCTTCAATGAAGATCCCAATCCCAATACTCATTCATCAGGACCCTCCACCCCTCTGAAAAACCAAACCTATTCCTTTTCACCTTCCAAGTCCTACAGTCGACAGTCCTCTTCTTCTGACACAGATTTGAGTTTGACACCCAAAACTGGTAAGGCGCTTCCACCCACTTTTTGTTTAATTTGTGTTTCTCTTTTTGTATTTTCATTCAACCCCTTTTTGCTTTTTGGCATTTAAGTTATCAAAATGATGTGGAAATTGGAGACTTCAGATAGCCCACCTCAAGCCTGACAGGATTTCTGTAGGGCGAAAATTTAAATCCTGCCTATATTTCCACTATTCTGGATAACATTAAAATGACATTTGTAACACAACTGTATTCAAGTAGAAATAAAACATCTCGGAGCATTAAGGGAGTCCTAAGTAATTGCCTTTTTCTTATTTCCTCCATTTCATATTACAAATCATGGAAGTACATTTCTCACCACAATATGTTAAGGACAGTGTTACTAAAACTGTGTAGTCTTCAAGCCTAATGCATTATGCTATAAATATATTGTATACATTTCTCTGTGATTTTTTAACTCCTTTTTGCAAATGTGATACTAGAAATATAGCAGCTGCTGTCTTTTTATTCTCCTTGGTATATGGAAATGGCTTGACATACACAGTATACTTTTTGAAAGTAACTTAAGCTACACTCCAGCCATGTTCAAAAGGCATTTTTCTTTCTCCATGGGTCTATAATTTCTTCAATTTGTTTCCTCCCTCCTTATTTTTTAATCTGTCCTTAGAATCATGTCAGTAATAATGTCAGCACAACTCAAAGAATTATTGCCTGTTTACTGTCCATTATGTGACCAATGCCCTGAGTTTTGCTGCTGTAGGGCAAAATATTTTGCAGAATTGTTTATAGAAGTTTGGTTGCTTTTTAAATGGTGTTTTAAATTGTGGTATTTGAAGCTCAGAACATTCTTGTCTCCATCTAGTCTAGACAATTTTTAAGCATTTTAAAGTAGTTGATTCAGCTTTACTTGATAGCACCCCTTTCAAGAATTTTTCCAAGCAGATAAGTTAAATGTTGCATTAAAATGCAGTTATATTAAATATTTTATCTTTTTTATTCCCTAGATATCTGTCAAAAAATGTTCCCAATTAGGAAGCTGTCTTTATTAGTACTATTTTCTCTGTCCTGTTTTTAAAAAAACAAATAAAAGCACACTTTTTTTTTGTCCTTTTGTGTAAATGATAACTCTTTTGTGGGTAACCTATGGTGGTCACTTGTTTAAAGGACCTATAAATATAACTGGATGCTTATTATGTAGGAGAACCACAAATTAATGTGTTTGGTTTACTGAGTATTTGAAAACTTGTTTCTTTTGATCAGATTTTCTGTGGTAAGGATCATGTCGTGTAAAGGATTTAAATGTAATGTTGATGGTCATCTTTATAGATGTAAATGTTCTGAATTTCTGAAGGTGGTAACTCACTGTGAATTTGTCAAGGTTTTAAAGCAGCAATCTTGTATCATTCCTGGTAATGTTAGGTAGGTGGATGGGCCCTCTCATCTTTAGTCGGTTCATTCAGAACTGAAACAGATTGTGTAATTGGTACCTCTTGTTTTTAGGGATTTTTCAAGTATATAAAAATACTTTTTAGCTATCTTTTTAGTATTAAAGCTAACAGTGGGCATACTTTTGCTTACTAGCACCGTCTTTTCAGCAGCTCTTAACCCTGCTACTGAAGCTTGTCTTAAGAGGGATTTGCTGGTTGCATTTAAAAATTCTGTATCTTGGTGTTACATGCTAGATTTTGAATCTTAATAGCTTAAAAGGACAGTATCTCTTGAGTCATTTTACCATTTACCAAAAATTTGATGATGTGCAGAAGATACTTCCATAACATACTAAATTCAGTGTGTTGTTCTTAACAATTCACTGTATATGTTTAGACCTCTGTTTTCATTTCCTAAGACTAAGTCGGAGTATTTCAGTGTGAAAGTTGGTGATGTTAGTGTTTTTTTAAAAAAAAAAAAAAGCAAACATCTCATGTGACACGTTAAACATTATCAAATTTGAGATACCCGTTACTCAGATTGGCTGATGTGAAAAATGAAGTATTTTCTGATGTTTCTGCAGTAGATTGTATTCCTCTCTATTTCTCAGTCAGGTAGCTAGTGTGTTCACATGTTTGAGATGGAGACTAAGCTGGAAGAAGAGTGCAGATACCACAATTTCACAATATGAATAACTAAATAGAGGAGATTGACACTTGGATCTGCTTAAACATCTAGTTTTCAGTAGCTCCAAATCAGGAGAAAATTACCTTAATGTCTTTTATAAAGTACAATTGTGATTGTGTTATCCATTCTGGTCTATATCTGGTCTAAATATGAGGGGAAATTACTCTGTGCCGAGAAAGCTTGTTTTGGTTTGAAGTTAGACTTCTATGAATAGTGATATATTTTATGCAACTGCAAACTAACAGAATATCAGGCTGACAAAAAGCATGACATTTTAATTAAATAATACATTTTGATGTGACATAGTATATGTTTGGAGGAAATGGAGAAGGTGGGAACTCCTTTTCTTTGTCGGAACTTAGAATTCTACAAGATTTATGACTAAAAATCATAGAACAAATCCATGACTTCTCTGGAAAATAACTTTTTATACCTAAATAATGAAAGTAATCAGATTAAGTGTGTGAGAAGACTGTTATTTAGCCTTTACTCCATAGTATTTGTTATCAAATTTTGTATAAAATTTAAAATAAATGTTAGATTATCATGGCTTTTAAAAAATTAATTTCAAAATACAGTTAATCAGGTCATGATTTTTGAGAACATGCTTCTCATTCACATTGTGGAGCTGTATTGTCATTCCGTTTCTTTGTATGTTAAGAAATAATTTAGCAATAAGTGCTGGTTCATTTGGAGAAAAAAAAAAATGCTTCATTTTGATTTCTTCCGTCTGTTTCTTTAGTCATCTTCTGAATCTACATCTCTCTGTCTCTATTACTTTCCTCCACAGCACCTTCCCCACAGGGACCTAGGATTTTCCTGTTTCCCAGCTCCCCTACACTCTCTTGTGATTCCCCACATCTTAAAAAGTCCTGTCTCCTCCTCTCGGGGTCTAGCCTTAACCCTCTACACTCTAGCCATGTCAGCCCAGTTGTTCTGAGGAAAAGTGTTTCTTTCACTGAAGAGCTGCTTCTGGCTGCTTCTGGTAGGATCAATCTATTATGGCCTTTTAAACAAACTTTTAAGAAAATGTTGTTGTCATTTGATACGGGGGCATTTAACACACAGCCTTCTATAACCCTATGTTTTTGTTCAATTAGCCTCTGAAAACTGCTGGCTACATGACTATTCATACCATCTCCTGTCTGCTTCAGAAGCTTGAAACAGCTTCAGAACTTCTTATAGGATTTGAAACATATGTAGTTTATGCTACAGAACGCTCTCCTTTTCCCTCACAAAATTTCCTTTGGTAACTGGACTAAAATAATTTACTTTTTTTTTAATCCCCCTTATTCCCTTCACTTTGTTGTTCCTATATTTTGCATGGAACAAGCACTTGCTCATTAAGACATTCATAATTTATTGAAATAATGGCTATCAGATGACTAGCAACTCCGCTCTTTAAATTAATCTTTTAAACAAAGCCCGTACAAACTTTTTATTTGTACTGCCTCCTTTTCCATTTCACTGACATGCATTATTTTCATGGATTTAAATTAAATAGTTGATACTACTGCTTTTTTCTGTAGAAACTGTTTTGATTAGTTTGTATTTTTTGAGTTTGTTTCATGTCCAGTATTTATGCTATGTTTGTCTGTATTTAATATTGTATAGTCCCTGACAATGATGTTTAGACTCAATGCCAAATAGTAAAAGCAATTTAATCTTGTTCAATGGGACTATACAGATACTAATCTTTTTGTTTCCTTATCCAAGAACAGCTAAAAATATTTGTTAAAAATTGTAGTATTTTTATATATAATTATATGGTAATGATAGCTTAGCAATTTTTGGAAATACTAGGAATGAATTAACGTACAACATTAAGTCCGGTATTATTTCCAGATCTCCCAGTCTTTGGTTAAAACAAATAACTGCACTTCGATGTATATGTACAATCTCATTCATGTTTATTAGATGCTTGATCAGAAGAAAAAGGAAACTAGCAAGGAATTGTTATGTTAATTCTGTAAAAGAAAATCTTGGCTTCATTCATAACTGTTTGCACTGTAGTGTTTGTATTTCATCTTGCTCCTGACGCTTCTTTTTGTTCTTTATCCTGTGCTTTCCTATACAACTTAGGTTTTTATTTTTGCTTTGTCAAGTTAGCACTGATGGTTTTTAGATACAAGAAATAGCAATGATAGTATGGTTTTAGGCATGAAATATTACCAAGAAAATCTGATTCACCAGCATTGTGTTTGCTTTAGGAAAAACACAATCTTGGTATGTGTTTATTTTTTACTTTTGTGATTTCTAACCATAGAGCAAATAACTTACTGTCATACATATAACCTGCATCTCGACACACTCGGTTAAGAGTACAGTTGCTTGATAACAGATAATTGAATAGCAAAGGTATTTGTGTATCTAATAAGCTTTCCATCGCTTCAGAAAAGCTCTTATATTGGGGGGTAGGGGTGGGAGTAAGATACATGAAAGAAGGAAAGAGAGAATTACCCATATTATGCAAAATTGGAGTTTCTTATTTTCATTTACAGATAATCTGCAGGTTATATGTGTGCAAATACAGTAATCAAATAAGTGTGGTTATTTTAAATGCTGAGCAGTAGTCCTTAGCTTATCTGAATGAATCAGGTGAGTGAATATTTCATTGCATAGGTATTAAAGTAAATAAAAATAATTGGTAATTTTTTTCAGAGTTTATATTTCAAATCTAAGGATGTGCATTGCCTTTGCAATTTTCTTTTTAGTCCCAATCATGCATTATATAGCTACTGCTGTAATTATGTATACAGTCTCCTCTCAGTGGTTAGGAAAGGTGATTTAGTTACTCTGAAACTCTCAGCCAGATTTTTTTTTTGTTTGTTTGTTTTTTAACTGATAATGATAGTACAGAGAAATACTTTACTATAGAGTAATGTGGCAGAGAGGCATTGTTCAACAGTGTGGAATTAATGGTGACTTTGCAGCCCTTTTTGGTAAGGGCTGGATATCTGACTATTTAGAAACTTTCTGTGAAAAGCAGAGAAGGTAGATATATATTGAAATCATAGACAAAACTCCCAATAGTAACAAGTAAAAAAAAAAAAAAGGTTTATGTCATAGGAAAGAATTGCAAGCCCAGGTCTTAAACTCTTTGTATTTTGAAGTTTTTTTTAATTCAGGTTGACAGCAGAAAAAGATCTTGGATCATGAGGTTTTTGTCCAAATGCTAAAAAACCCACTGCTATCATGTGAAAACCAAACCCAAAAAACAACCCCCCCAAACCCAAATTAAACTGATGCTCAGCGTTTTTTTTTTCTGAAAATTAAAATTATGGGGATAATTTGACTGTTTTCAATGACTATTTTATATATTTTTAAATCAAAGTTTGATTACAAGTTATAATATATGTTTCTTTGACTGTCATTTGTACTGATACTCTTCAGGAATGGGCAGTGGGAGTGCTGGAAAAGAAGGGGGGCCATTTAAAACTCTTTTAAGACAACAGACTCAGTCAGCTCTGGAACAAAGGGTAAGGCACTCTGTACTTATATTTCTGATCTACTAAAGTGAAAATTTAGCTTGTAGTAAGTTAAATGTTTCCTGTTACTTTCTGTTTAAAAATATGTGTAATTTTTAGGTCTGAAAACTTACTGGAAATGTTGAACGTTTAATAGCATTTTTATGCACAAATTATTTAATTTTTAATATATTACTAAACCATTAAGAAAAGAGTGGAGGAAGTAACTGTAACGTGCACAGCACTCAAGTGATTACAGTTGGTGTTACAAGAAACAGTTATAGCAAAAATTACTGCTATTTAGTCTCTGTAAGTTAGTGATGCATGTGTAAATTTAATACTTTACCATCATGTATTTAGTTATGTTTTTACAGAAGCCAAATGCAGAAACATTGGAATAGCTTTAAACAAGGTGAAAATCCCATTTATAATTGCGAAAACTTTCAGTTTTGAAAAATAGATTTGGTGCATAATTTAGCCTTCGTTCTACTATATGAAATACTGTGCATGTAGCCTTTAAAAAATGGTAACTTAAACAAACCTAAACCACTTCCCAAGCAATAAAAGGGCTTTATAGATTTACAGGTTTTTTAAGAACCTCTGTAGGACTAAAAATGCCATCTGTTATTATGCTGAATAGGCTGTATAATAAAAATAGTGTTTTTAATTCTTTGTTTAAATTTTGGAATGAGTCCTTGCAACTTTTTTTCTACAGATTATATACTGCTTTTGTCAAAATGTTATTAGTGAGGTGTCTTGAAGGAAGAAATGTGAGTGTTTTCCTATTCAGAAATAAATTCTAGCTTAATTACAATTTCTGACTACCTGAACTACTTACGTAGAACCATATACGTTTGTTGAAAATAAAATCAGCTATATCTGTGAAATATAAGTGAATAGCTACTATTTTGAGTAAGTGGATGATTCTCTTCTCATTTTTTGTGTTATCCGTTGCTAAGGGAGGATCGCCTCATAGGTTCTGTAGAAGGCGGGTATGTTCCAAAACATCGTGTGACTCTTTTTGTAGCCCTTTTTTCTTGTATTGAGGGTTTCTAGACAATTATTTGAAATATTTTGGTTTTCTTTTTTGTGGGGTTTTGCAGATTTCTTTGTAATCTTGTTTATGCAGGATTTTGTTTATATTTGTTCTGGGTTTTTTTTAAGAGCATTTATCAGATCGGCATACTTTTGCTTAGTGTTTTGCATGTTGATACATTTCAGTTAAAATTTTAATTTCTCTTTAAATACAAATCCATGGCTTTTTGCTTTTAATGTTTTAGTTTGAAAAAAAATGCTTTAAAAAGAGCCTTTTCTCTGTTTACCTTTGTTTCTGCTAGCGTTTCAGACATTTCATGGCTGATCTGGTATTTCCTTAGGAAGCTTTTTAAAAACAATTAAAAATGTAAATTAAGAACACTTAATGTGTTTTTAGAGCTTGAATTATTTGCACATTGTTTTGAGGAGACCTGTATATTGTCTAGTGGAAAAAAAAATTTACTGTAAAATGGGATGGAAACATGTTGAATCTGTTATTAACGATGATGATGTAGCAAAGCATGCGGACTGTTAATTGATACAAAAAATATGTTCATACTGTCTTTCTGAAAACACCATGTTTGATGTGTTTTTGCTACAGTTACCTTTTTTTCAGTTACGTAACTATAATGAATAGCCCTTGTAAGTTATTTTGTCTGTTTTAAAATTGCACACATAGTGTAGTCTAGTTACCTGTCTGGATTAGTTAGGGTAGCACTTATTTGGGAAAACAAAGAATAAATTCAATATGTATAATATATTTCCACATGTATTAGATGTATAGTAAGTTCTTTTGAGTCTTAGTTCAGTCTGTTTGCATATATGGTAATGCTAAGGCATATTAAAACCAGTTCATTTAACTGTTTGTCTCCACAGCTTTTTTTAATCAAATGTGTTTTTAACGTGTCACTTAAATAACCCTAATTGCAAACCAGAACAGATTTTGTTTGAAGGGTAATATTACTCTATTTCTTCCGGGAAAATACACCAGCCGTGGAAAACTCACATACGTGTTATGTTTTACATTAATATATTTTTAGTAATTCACAGGATACCTATCACGCCAACACACCTGTTGATAGCAGGTGTATATATAGCACAGCTATCTCTGTGTATATTTTTATCTATAAATGTATATGGTATATTTCTGTCAGTGGGAAAATTTGAGCTTATTTTACTCTCAAAAAATTAGCCTATGTTTTTGTAGAAATGGCCAAATGCCGCTCTTGATGGTATTTTATATCTCTGTTGACCTCAACTTGGACAAATGCTGTTTTATTCCTCCACGTTTGCATTCTGCAAGTGCTTGAGAGATCTTTACTGCTGCCTTTTCAAAATGGAGATCTATTGATCTTCATCTCTGAAGAGCACTGCTAGATAACTGTTGTGTTAGAGTGCAGTTCTCTGTGTGATTCTTTTGGCTGAAATGCTGACTTCAGCAATTTTTCTTTCCAGCGACTTCTTTTTACTGTCCAGCCCATCCCCTCAGTTCAGTTGAAGAAAAATTGTTAAGATTGTTTGGCCATCTTGTGAGATGGCACAGTAAACGTGCTTAGACTAAAAATAATTCAACCAGGAAATTAACAGTATTTTAATATGGACCAGTTCCCTACTCTGGTTCAGCCCAAAAAGCTCTATGAACATACCTGAGCATTACAAGCATTATCTGAGGGAGTGGTACAATGGTGGGAATGAGTGAATGGCTGGAAGGGAATCTGAGAACTGCTTCAGCTGACACTAACACCAAATGATATGTGTGTGTAGCCTTGTTCCATGTGCTTGTTCATTATTTTGTGTGTCTTTGTAGGAAATGTAATTAAAAAAGAATACTAGCAATACATGTATGCATATACATAAACATTTTAAAACATTGTATTAAACAAATATTATGAGGATTTTATTGTGATCCTATCAAACTTTCCCCAAATGCCAACTATAAAATCTCTATATAGTTGCAAGGATTAAACCAGTGACAGTTCTTTCAGTGTCTATGCAGTCAATGACTGTGAAATGGTGTAGTGAATTAGTATTGGTAAAATGATTGACCATCTTCAGTTGTAGCTTGGAAACTTTAAGATCATCGTGTATTCTCACACATGGGAATATTCTGTGCTTGCTTCACCTTGGTGTAAAGATAGTCCTTTGCAAATTGCAGTAATAGAGGAGATTTGTAATATGGAAACACTGCATCTGGTTTTGATGGAATTTCTTGTTTTCCATGCGATAAGTATAGCTTTATAATTTTGAAGTGTTACAGATTACCACATGCAGTTGAGGCTGGAACTTGTATTTGAGTAATAAAACAATAAAAAACCCCAAACCTCTAAATGAGCTTAAAAAAGCAAAAAAGGAGGGAAAAAAAAAAGCCATCATACATAGTGATGGAATTGCATCTGTGTCAGAATGAATGAGACATTGTTCATGGAATAAGAGCATGTCAGAATGGTTCAGTGAGTCAGTTACTGAGATTTGTCTGTGGCTGAAATTAACTGATAGAACATAGGTCTAATTTTAGCATGTATCATAATATAGAGTTGCAAGTATCGATGTGCCCGAGTGTATTGATTGAGGCAAAACCATGTTATTACTTTAAAGTTTTATTCCTGGTTTGTAGTTTAGGGAATCAGGCAAACTGGAAGTCTAAACATGTTAAAATTACTTGCAGTACACAGACTTATGAAAATGAACAAAAAATTGAAGTAATTCCTGAATCTCCATGTAAGATTAAAAAGCATTGGATTTGCTTATGCATTAGAGCATGGATTATTGTTCACTTTGTTCACTACATACTGCTTTAGCACAATGTAAGTGTGAGTATATATATGTATGTATAAAATATAAATGGCTTAATGGAATTTCATATAGGTGGCATATGCAGTAAACACTGATTTCTGTAGTTCTGGGAAAGCTATTTTTAATGTCATTAATGTGGGATAACTATATTCAGGGGACAGCAAACGTGTGTTGATATATTTAAATGTAAGTTATGCAGAATGAGTGTCATGGAATTATACAGGGACAAATGTTATCAGTATACTTGTGAATCACTGAACAGTTGATACTACAGAGCCACGGTGAAAGAAGGTTCTAAACGAAGTGTTGATGTACTGGGTTTTTTCCATTTTTTGGCATGAAAGACGTGCAAAAAAGGAGTTCGGACTATGTTGTAGTCAGAGCTTTCTGACTGTTCTGATAACCTGCAAAGTACTTTGTGATCTGTTAGAACCTTCCGGGGGAATCTTTTCTCTAGCCCTCTCTAGAGATCCATCGGTGCTCCTGAAGACAGATTAGTCAAGCAGGTTTGCAGAGTCCTGTGATGAAATCTTCCCGCTTTTTAATTGCATCATAAGGCACGACTGCAGGTTTTGGTGTTTTGGGGGGTGGTTTTATTTGTTGTTTTTTTTTTCCTTCTGGTTGTTGATGCTATGGTTGCTGATTTCAAAGTTTGCCTCTTAATTTTGAAAGTCTAAGCCAAACGAAAATTCAGAAAACTTGAAGTTTGTAGGACCTTTTAAAAGTTGTAAGAGTTCTAATAACAAGGGTGGTAATAATTCTGAGGTGTTAATTTTTAAATCTACATTGGACTTCAGTTTAAGATGACTTTTCATGCCATGTATTGCTGGAAGAACCGTGATCCTCGCTTAATCTGCAGCATGTACACTGTTTAGGTAGAAGCTCAATTGAACTGTACGTTGCAAGTGCTTCAACTATGTGAGAAAGGAATATATACTGTACTTTCTCTCATATAAAATTATGGTGTTTATTTTTTCCATTTAACCAATCATCATGACTATACAAACCATGATTGCATGATTTTTCTTTTATTTTTCTTTTTTTGCCTTTATGCATTTAGAATGGCTGAACATAAATCTATTGCCTTTCCCCCGTGAGTGTGCTATCATGTGTATATTAGACATTCCATAGAATGTCTCTCTAGAAAATAAAAGCTTCCCGTTTTGGGCTCACCTCCTTTGAATATGACTGTTTTACTTCATCATTTGTGGAATGAAAAATTACTGTTATCACTTACTTTGCCTCTTGTATGAACTACATTTTTGAGTAGTTGCTGAAACTTGGTAATTCTTCATTTTAATTATGAATTGGTAAAAACTAATTTATGCAAATGAATTGGAAGTGAACTTCCTTAGTTTAAGAACTTAGAGTTGTATTTCAAAGACCTACGCTTTATTCTAGAAGATGGATATTCACTAGGAGAGCAGTCCATTAGTATTTTTTAGTTATGTTTTCCTGTAAGAAGATATTTATCCTTCTTGCAAGACTACAGTTTGTTTTACCCTGTGCTTCAGGATCAAACTGCAGTCAGTTGTAACAGTAAGACCTAAAAAATGGGGAAAAATGTTCCTTTACTTTGTATCAGCTGATGAGAGTAAAATTATGTTGTCTAGCTGCCATCCTAAAAGTGGACCAATAGAGGCTTTGTTAACACAAATGTGTAAAGTTTTGATTATTTATTAATATTGTGCCAAGATACAACTCTATGGGGGAAAAGTATTCTTACATTGTATAATACCTCTGCTTTTATTATACTATGGGTATATGAAGACATATGGTTACATAGTGCTTAGTAAGCCTGAAGGACATGTTTGGCCTAATGTAACTGCTTTGCTTGTATTTCAGGGAAATTAGCAATTCACTGCATGTTTATTGGCAATCAGCAGTGGTTGGTAAGCAGTCATTTGATGTTTCTTTTTAATCATAACAGGAATTTCCATTTTTTACCTTGACGACCTTTCCACCAGGCTTCCTTGTCCACGTTGGTGGCGTTGTCAGTGCACGGTCTGTGAAGCTCCTGGATCGCATTCACAATCCTGGTATGTTAACACAGTAACAACTTCCTTGCCCAAGTCCAGTCATAATGATCACGTACTGCTAATCTTTATAACTTTATAACATATCAGTATTTGGATAGATACAAATCTATTCTAACAATGTATGTTAAAAGCAGTATTTTTCAGACAATCATTTAAGCTTGAAAAATAATGGTAATTCAGAGGGTATGTTTTTAGTGAGAAACTTTTCAGCAAGTTAATGAAATAATAAAGTACTTTGAATCCAGTAACTTTGCATTAAAAACTGTCATTGAATTATTGGGGGCTTAATTATTTTTTTACCACTCCTTTACTATTAAAACTTGATGCAAGTTTTCCATTCAAACAAAAGTAAGATGAAATACTCGATCTTAACTATGAATGTTTTCTAATTTTCAGCTCCTTGAAATCCCTAAGGACTAATGACTACAATTTAGCTCCGTACATGTTTTTAACCTCTTTTTATAAAACCTTTACAGCTTTGTTTCTGTTCTTAAAAACATATACTGAACAGTCCTTTAAGATTTTTATTTAATATTTACCTGGGAACCCCAGTACTGGAACATGTGTATTTTGCATGTCCTAGTTCTGACATCAGAATTAAGTGACTTTTGACTCTGAAGACTTTGTTATATTCACTGAGACAAGCCAAGGAATACTCTGTAAAAAGTTGGAGTTAACAGCGCACTTAAAAACGCAGACAGAGGAGAGTAAAAATAGCAGCTGTAGTGGTTTTGCATGCACTGGTCAGGAGTAATAAAACAAAGTTTGTGCAAATGCATCTTTTAATTTAAAAAAAAAAAAAATCTTTTTTCCTTTTCTTTCTTCTTCCTGTGGCCCAAGGCAAGTAATTCTGCAAGCAGGTAGATTGTTGCTGATCTAAAGATTCAATAAACTGACAACATGAAATAAAAGCTGAGATTTAATTTGAATTTTAAAAAAAGGGATTTTTTTTTTTAAAAGCATATAGAAAACAATATTGTTCATGTTGTTCTTTTTTTCCTATTTTTAAGATTTATTTCCACAGTGGAGAGAAGATTAAGAGAAATGTCAAAGTATAATTTATATGTGGGTGCTCCCTTTCTTTGCCACAAAGTTGTCTTAGGCTTCTGTATTTTCAGCAGATTTCTGGTACAGGTCACTTACATGCAGAATTTCCTGTGTGATAAATTTATTTAAGACAAAAGAAAAAAAAAAATCAGTTATGCTCAGAAGTTTTAAAAACTAATTTCTTGCATTATGCACTCCTTCATTTTTACCAACTGTCTGAAAGCAGGATAAGAAATAAGAGAAGATAGAGATGCATATTTGCACAACTAAGTGGCTCTTTGCAGTGTTTTTGTGGGACTTGTAGATTGCTCCTGACAAGTGAATGTAAGATCCATGACACTTTGAACTCGGTATATTGCAAAACAATGAAAACAAAAGGGGGAGTGAAGGCACATGGCTATGGGAGGGCAGGTGAAGAAGCAGAAAAAAAATTTCTGATATAGTGATGATCATACTAAGCATGTGAGTCAGCTAAGTCTGTAAAATATTAAAGGAAGCAAATAAACTGGCAAATGAATAAACAGGAAAACGTAGAAGAGGAAAGAACATTTGAAGGGGTGGATTGAGAACTTATCAATAAGACAATAATTGCTATATGCTGTACACTTTGATCACGCCTAGTGCTAGATTGCTATAGCATGCTCCTTTTTTTCCCTTTCTATTTCAGCCTCTTATTAACTCTGCTGTCTGTGTCTTTCCAGTTCCTGTGGAGTGGTGTTGTCAATTGTGTTCTTGTTGGTAGTTTTTTTTCACTATTCTGCTCCTATAACTGATCTACTAATTTGCTGTTTTGAACTCAGCCTTTGTCGGAATAATGGGTAACACAAGATCATACAAACTGCTAGACTGGAATAGTTTCAATTCAGGTATTTTACTAGTCATTCAGTACTACATATGCTGACAGAAATTATGGCAGCTCAGTGAAGTTCTTAGAAATGCTGTAGGATATTTAGGTTAATGCTTCAAATTTAAATCTGTTTAACCATCAAATGCCTAAATGTCTTGTTTTAATGTTGTTAAAGGCTTTCTTTAAAATTGCAAAACATAGTTTTAGAATAAAATAGTATTGCTAAGAATAATTTAATATCAATCTGGAAAGCTGAATGTTCAGATGATTATTTTGTGGTAGCTTTCAGCTCAGTGTCCATGAAGCAAATAATTTAGGGAAAGAGAATGGATTCTTATTTGTACAGTTGGGATCATGTCAGGTATGATTTTTTTGTTTTAATAATTTTTTTTTGATTGGTTGGTTTGATTTGGGGGGGGCTGTTGGTTGGTTTTGTTTTGTTTTGCATGAGCTTGCACTTTCTTCAACAATGGCTGTACTTCTGTTAATTTCAGGAAACTCATGAATGTGTTTGTTCTAAATAATAGACATAAAAATTGTCTGAGAGAATGGAAAATAGACGAAGAGGACGATCTGTTTAAAGAGAAGGGTAGCGTGTAGTCCAGAATTTGTTGGTTCATAAGTTTTGTATTGTAAAATGCAATCAGCTTGCAGGACTTGCAGCATAATGATTTGAACTTTTTAATCACTTTAACACCTAACTTGAAAAAAGCCCCAATATTCTATTTTTTATGCAGTTTTAGGCATCACAGTGTGTAACTTCTTTATACAGCTGCAGAGAGAATGGATGAGTTGATGATGCAGCCTACATAAAAGCTACATAGAGTACTGGCCTCTTATGGGGAGAAATAAAGACTTTTTTTTTCCTCTGGAAATGTAGCATGCTTTGTCAAAAAGAAAGGCATAACTTCTCTGCGTATAATATCCAAGCCAGCAGACCTTGCCAAACTTCAATGTTTTTAAAGCTGGCACAGTAGAAAGGTATAAAGCTGACCTTGGGGGGGGTTTGTTTCCCCCAGAAACAAACTTACTTTCTTAGTACTTCACTGTTGCAGTGCAGCTCTGTGTCATTTGTCTTTGGAAATTGCAGTGTCATGCTCTAAACTTCAGTTTAAATTATCTATATACGTTTTTCATTTCACGAATAGTTCAATAATAGGTAGTGCCTAAAACTATTGGCTCATTTTTATATTCTTGTTCCTTGCTACAGTGAGCATCCTGTAATATTATAATTATGAGGGTTTCTGTTTTTGTTGGTTTTACTTGCTTGTTCTAAAGTGATATCTTTTAAAATGAATTTTACTTTCCGTATGAAAATAATATTATGAAATTCTCAGATCTATTACTGGTATAGCATAGTCTGATCCAAGGTGTTAAAAATAAAAGTGTCGAAATTTTGCGTTTTGTATGCTACCTTGGAAAGTTTGAATTAATTGTTTCTTCTTCGAGGTAGTGTTTAGTAGGATGTTACCATGGAAGACTTTTATTAGAATAACAGAGTAAATGAGTTATGAACAGACAGTAAACATACATTGAGCTACGCTAAAAAGTGATCCAGAAATGTAAGCCTAGGAAGCTAAGGGGAAGTCATGAATTCATTTCTTGACAGAATATTCAAAACAGTAGCCTAAATTTTTTAGAGGTAACAGGAAAAAGAAAGCACATATATAAAAAAAAAGTATATTTATATATATTTTTATATATATAAATATATATATGCATTTTATACCCAGAGGTGGTTGTTACCCAAAAATTTTTGAGTAGAGAGGTCTAAACCAAACAGTAATTTTAAAGTTAATACCTTGCTGAGAACTGTCTGTATTTCTGTTGCCTTGCCGTGTGTCAGCAGCTCTGTAGTAACATTCTTGATTAATCCTACTGGTTAGGGACTGAGCAGGTTATGCTCATATTCCTGGAAGTAAATTTTTTTTTGCAGTGCTAGGTGTGTTGCTGAACAAAGAAGAAAGGAGGAAGAGAGTAGATCAGTTGTTAAATACGATGCGTGATGGATAGTAGAGTTGCAGATTACGTACAAGTTAACTCTGTCTTAGACTGGAATAACGAATATGCTGTGCAGATCTGTTACCATTGAGAAAACAGAGGAAAAGTTTTCTATTCATGAGCCCCTTCTAGGGCTTGCTTGCTAACTGTCATTGCTGGCTAATACTTGGACTGAAGGAGAGCAGGGATTTATACAGCTTAAGGAAAACAATACTACGTCTTTACATTACATTCACGTTAGCAAGAATGTAATCACAACCATGAGTAGGATAAAATTATTTTCCTTTTTGAAAATGTTCAGGCTTCATTTAAGCTTGCTAGTAACCTGTGTTAGCATAGAAGGGTATTTCTTTTTTTTGCCAATGGCAGGGAGGCTTGTTTAATTAAGTGTGTAAGATACAACAGGGCCATCTGATGGTGGTGAAAAGTCAGAGATTTGAAGATGCTTGAAAATCACATGTGGAAGTAAAGACTGACTTTGTTTGATGACTGGAAAAGAAACTACTTAAACATCTGGGAATTGCATATAGTTCAATGACAAAATTGTTTAAATGTTTGTAAAATTATGAAAAGGTGATGATCAAGATGAATCTGCAAAATAAAAGTAGAGAGGCAAGAGCACAAAGTCATAGAAAAGAGGACACATAATACAGTGGAAGAAATACTGTGGTGCTGTCTCTGAAAAAGGATGATAAAGATGTACTATAAATATAAACACATGAAAGGAATCCTGGATCCAGAAGACTGGATCTTGTTAAAGTTTCTCCCCAAGGTTAAATATAGAGAAGAAAGGTTCCTTAGGAAGTGCAAAGAACTTGCTGAATAAAGACTGCTTTTGCATACGGCTGTTTCATAGCACTGACATATACAGTGTTCTCACATAATTACAGTTTTAAACTCCTCATTCAGGGGGCTGCTTCAGCAGTGATTCTTCAGCTCCAGAAGTCAGAAACATGGAAGGAGAAAAGATTGTTAATAAAATTCCTAAGGATCTCCTGGGCTCCTTGTTTGATATCCAGACTTGCTGTTGGAGCGTGAAATTCTCCAGAACTCTGGTTTTATATATGAGAAAATGCAAGAGGAAAGCTCGAATATGTTTTGGTTC